CGGATCTAGGGGAGGTGCTGGGGGGTCCGGTCCTCCCCTTTTCAGGCGTTTTTTTTTGTACAGTAAAAAGTAATTACTATTGACATCAGAATATCTCCTAATATCAAGTGCACGTGGCTTCAAAATGGTCTCAGAATACCCATGATATTGGTCAGATTAAAAAAACATTCGGGGTGGGGGGGGGGGGGTGCTTACAGCGGCCCCCAAACCCCCCAGCTGAGTGGGTTCGCTATACTCGACATGTTCCCCCACCCACAACTTCTTGGAACCCCCTTTTGATATTCCTGGATCCGCCCCTGTATTTACATAGTGCCAATCATTTCTAAATCTTGATATGTATGTAATTGTATGTGTACATGAGAGTGCTTATATGTGTGTGTGTGTTTTTTACATGAATGCTTGTGTATTTGTGTATGTGCACTGGAGTATGTGTGAGGGGGAAAGTTTTAAATTGGATAAAATCATGGCTCACCGACAGAACACAGAGGGTCAGCGTAGATGGTATTAAATCTAAGTCGAGCTGCGTAACCAGTGGGGTTCCCCAGGGGTCAGTACTGGGCCCACTCTTGTTCATAATCTACATAAACTATCTAGATACTGGGATCAGCAGTGACATAAGCAAGTTTGCGGAAGACACCAAAGTAGGGCTGCAGATTAATTCAGGGCAGGATGCAAATGCACTACAGGAGGATTTAAATAAACTGCAGGAGTGGTCAGAAAAGGGGCAAATGAAATTCAACACCAGCAAGTGCGCGTACTTAATATTGGAAGAGCAAATACTGTCAATGTATACAGCCTTAACAACATCAACCTAGAGAAGTCGACTTGTGAAAGAGACTTAAGGGTACTTGTAAGCCCGGACCTACGGCCTAGAAAACAGTGCCTTAATGTTCGAAATAAGGCAAACAGAGTATTAGGTTTTATATATAGAAGTGTAAGTAATAAGAGTGCGGAGGTCATATTGCAACTATATCTTGCTCTAGACAGGCCGCACCTCGATTATGCTGTTCAGTTCTGGTGCCCCTATTATAGAATGGATATAAATTCACTAGAGTCGGTGCAGCGAAGAATGACAAAAATGATTCCGGAACTTAGAAACCTTTCATATCAAGATAGATTAAAGAAACTAAACTTGCATTCCCTAGAAAGACAAAGAGTGCGGGGAGATATGATAGAAGTATTTAAGTGGTTGAAAGGAATCAATAAAGGCGACATAGATAAAGTTCTTATAATATCCGAGCAGGGTATGACTCGTAGCAACGGATTTAAGTTGGATAAGTTAAGGTTTAGGAGGGAGATAGGAAGAAACTGGTTCATAAATAGGGTGGTAGATGAGTGGAACAAGCTTAGCAACTTTGTAGTAAGTGCTGGAACGCTGGAAAGTTTTAAAAGGAGGCTAGATAGATTCATGGATGATAGAGAGTGGTTGCAACTCTCGACAGGAGCTGCCATGCACAGGCCAACCGGCCTATTGCAGACTCCTTATTTTCTTATGTTTTTATGTATACAATACATGAGTGTAGGTGAGCGTGTGTATGTATGCATGAATGTACAGTCTCGTTCAAGATTCTTCGAACACTGCTGGAGACAGCTGGCAACTCAAGGCCGTTTGTTTACTATAGTACGTAGTATAATATAATACGAAACAACAAAGCTTAACCATTAAATTAAGCAACGGAGAACTAAGTAACCAATCACCGATCACTTTTACATTTACTCATAATTTTTACTTCGTACTATGGTAAACAAACGGCCTTGAGTTGCTAACTGTCTCCAGCAGTGTTCGAAGACTCTTGAATGAGACTGTACATGTACGTGTGTCTGTGCGTGAGAGAGAGAGAGGAATGGAGCACACAGTAGATAACTAATGAGAAGTGTCACCGAGAGTACGATAAGAACACAAAGGAACAATACAACAACACAAGACTTATGGTAGACGTGTGTTGAGAGAGAGAGAGAGAGAGAGAGAGAGAGAGAGAGAGAGAGAGAGAGAGAGAGAGAGAGAGAGAGAGAGAGGGCAATATAAGACACTACAAGAGACAAGACAGACAGACAGACAGACAGAAAGGGGAGGACTGATACAGAAACGGACAGAATCGGGGAGACAGGGAGTGATAAAGTAAAAATTATCGAGGAGAGACAACAAAATATTAGGGAAAAGAGACAGAAAAAAGACAGTGAAAGGAATATAAAGATAGAAACGAAAAAAACAGGAAAAGAGACAGATGTATACAGAGAGACAGGTAGAAAAAAGAGACGGGTAGAAACAGAAAAAAGACAGATATAAATAGAAGAGACAGACAGAAACAAAAGAGACAAATATAAACATAAAATAGACAGATAGAAACAGAAAATAGACAGGTAGAAACAGAAAAGAGACAGAGACAGACAGGTAGAAACAGAGACAGAAATAGAAGAGACAGATAAAAACAGTAAAAAAGACAGATAGATAAAGATAAAACAAGAGTAAATGCGTCAACTTTGGCTACCTAGACAGACATAGACAGAAGACAGACAGTGATTATCTTTCTTGTTAAAGTGAAGGTTGAAGTGGAAACTGAAAAGTCTTTTAAAAGGGTCATGACTGTGTGTGTGTGTGTGTGTGTGTGTGGGGCGCTTCAAGCCATTTGAAAGGTAAAGACAAACAAAATGTATGTATGTATATGTATGTATGTAATAATAATAATAATAATAATAATATATATACAAAACACATAAAATGCTGTAATTGTTTCCTTGTCAAGAGAAATACACAGAATTAACAATAAAATAATAGATAAAATGAAAGTATAGATGAAGTAATGCATAATAATAAACGTAGGAATTGAGGAGAAACAAAAGACAATCATTATGAGTCAGGTTACCTTTTATTACTTAAATGCACAGCACGTAAATAAATCTTTTACCTGGACACATATAACTTCTGCTGGGTTTTCGTGTGTGTATATATATGTGTGTGTGTGTGTGTGTGTGTGTGTGTGTGCGCTCGGCTGTGTGGGTTGTGTTGGTGAGGTGGTTCTACGTCACTGATATTAACTACCACAGAGAATGGAATAGCTAGGGGTAGGGGGGGTTGAGGGTGGGTGGTTAGGGGGTCTGGAGGTGGGGTAAGTGGGGTGGGAGAGGGGGCAATCTCTCTCTCAGGGGGTTCCATATCGAGAAAGGGGAGGTTCTATTTTTAAAGGGATTATTTAGGGATTCTTCTCTGAACTCTTAAGTCTGTTATGGTCGATATGCTGGCTGTCAGAACCCCCTTAGAGTAATACGCCCTAACACTCCCAGTATCTATAATATGATGTGGTTGTGTGGAGTATACTAGAGACCACAGGTATTGAGTATAAATATAATTCTACTGTATGTTAATCAAAGGTATTATTTTGTTCTCTTATGGGTAGTCAGTGAACGTGAACCAAGTGTACACAACAGCTGAGGTATTAAAGCTATCAGTATTAAATGTTTATGAGAAACTATAATTGTTTTTCTTAGGTTTTGAGTTAGGCAAATGTCTGTCTGTATGTCTGTGTGTTGGTTTGTAGATATTCGTGCGATAAGCGTTCTGCGTTAAACTACTGTAGATACCATCATCCTACACGACGAATACAAGATGGCGTAGAAAAGAAAAATTCGGCCATCCTCGGTGCGTCGTGTGAAGTGAAGCCCTCGCCAGTACTATACAGCCTCTTGGATCTCGTTAAAACTACGATGGCGCTCACTTTCTGTTGATTCTGAAGCCATACTGGTCCCACTCAACACCCTGGCGACGCAGTTCTTCGGCGAAGGCGATCTGCTCGATTGCGTGAGCGGGGAGAGGGGGAGGGGTGGGGATGAGGGCTGACTCGGGGCGGTAACCGAACTCGTCAGCAACGTAGATGACCTCACCGATTGAGCCATCATCCAGGGGGAACCTTAAGGAAGACAAGACCGTACGCCACCGTGAGTCATTTACAGGTACATACAAGAAAATACAGGTGTAGACAGGTACAAATACAGGTGCAGACAGGTACAAATACAGGTGCAGACAGGTACAAACAGGTTAATACAGGTGTAGACAGGTACACACAGGTACAAATACAGGTATACACAGGTACTCTATTATTGATAAGTTTCTAGGAAGGAGAAGAAGCGTGCAAAGTGAGACGTGCGTTGTCACTGTTTCCGCCGCCTGGGTCTGGTTACATGTCCTGTTGGTCGATCGTCAGAGAGGCTCGTGATGTAATGGTTGTGAGTGAGTCAGAGAGAGAGAGAGAGAGAGAGAGTGGGGTGGGGACGGACAAAGTAAAAGGAGTGAAGGTACAAAGCAGGTAGGATGAGGAGAAGGGAGGTGACGGGGTGAGAGAGAGAGAGGGAGACGGAGACAGACAGACAGACAGACAGAAAGAAGGAAAGAAACAAAGATGGAGGAGACAAAAATTCATGTCTGGACGAACAAAAGAAAAACCTGATATAAAAGTGTTTCTTAAAGTGAAAATGTTATTTGGCACAGTTAGGGACTTTTCCGCGAGATAACTTAGTGTTGTTGTTGTCATCATTGTTGTTGTTGAGGTTGTTTTTGTTGTTGATTTATCTCCCGATGAAAGGTTATTATTTATACTTTTGTGGTCAATAAATCAATAGTCAATTCCTTTATGGTAAGAGGTCAAATTAGGTTATGTTTAGGTCTTATAGTAATCCTGGTCAGTACAGGTACACATCATGTTTTAAACCCGTATAAAGAAGAAAACAGATAATAATGATAATAATGGTGAAAGGTTAAAATAAAAAATAAAATAGAAAAATGGAGAAAATATATATATATATATAATTGAAATTTTCCTTAAAATATGAAGAATAAAATGTCCTGATCTCTTGAAATGTGTAATGGCGTATAGAACGAGAGGAAACTTGGAGTCATGACCTTGGTTGACCTGATAACGGAACGTGACCCTAAGACGTGGTGGGTGACTCATTCTTTGTAAATTTCTCTTCATTCTTCAAATCAACAGATGGAAATATTCAAGGGAAAATTAGACAAACAGCCAAACAGCCTCGCAATTATCGACAACACACTCTAAGGAAATGACGAGTATCTGTATTTCGCTTGTTATTGTATGTGAGTCAAGAACGATATTTATCACTCAAGGACACGTGTTGGCGTGGGTGAGTTAACTGCTGGCTGGGTTGTTGATGTAATCGCTGGGAACTTGACGGAAACACGTTATTATTATATTGACTCACCAGGATCTTCTCTGTCCCAAGTATACAACAGTAATTTGAGAGATACAGAATGATGTGAAGTTTAAACTGCTAACATGAGCTACACTGCTGGGTAATGTCCTCTATAACTTGTCGCTCTTCTCTAGATTTTTAAATTTTACGAGTCAAAGAAAATTTATAATAAAGCCGAAATACAAGAAAATTAAAGTTAACGTAAGAAGTAAATACCAGAGAGTGAATGAAATTATAGGTAAGAGGAGTCCCGTAACACAGGTATTAACTCAGGCCAGGTGGAGTCAGTGTGTGGGTGACCTTTCACAGGTGAGTAAGATGGCCTACACCCAAGGTGAGAGGGAAGCGGTGACGACACTCCTGATCATCCCCAGTGAATGAAGGAAATTGGTGGTTAAATTCCAGTCTTCCAACATCATTATTCTCACGTTTAATCTCCCCCCCCCTCCTAACACCCCCGCTCCCCTCCCCCCTCCTCCTAACACCCCCCGCTCTCCCCCCTAACTGCAGGTAGTGAGATCGTGTTGTTTCCTTACTTATTCTTCCGAAATCTCAGGCTTAAATCAGTTTCCTGGACTGTACACGTGAGAAGTCAAGTTGTCTCTTCATTTAAGCTTAATGACAACGAAACTGCTCAGTAACTATTGTAACTATATCCAGGATAGACTGATTGACTGACTACCTCAAGTAATGTTCCTGAAGAAGGAGAAATAGTAGGAGGATTATATGACCCACCTGTAGAAGCCCTGGATGTTGCTCTGGCCCTCAGAGCCTGGGGTGCCGACAGCGTTCACGTGGATGCCATTCTCAGTTTCGAATTCGTAGCGGAAGTTGCCATCGCCATGATCCACCCGCTCGTCCCTGAGGATGGCGATGTGCGGGTACTGTGGCCTGTTGTCACTACCTCCGTACGTCTGAGGGGCAGCCAGGGTGGCGGTGGCCAGGCAGGCGAGGAGTACCTATGGCATGACACAGAGATTATTGATGAAAGGTTGGGCAGTTAAGTTTCTCTCTCTAGTAGAAAGTAGATACAGATAGGTAGACAAAGTAAACACTAGATGAATGTATTGGCTGATAATAACTAGATAAAGTAGTAGACAGAATAAACAAGTTGTAGAGAGTTAACTAGACAATGTGGTAGACAGATTGACAGTAGATGAACATGGACTATTAAATTCTTTGACTTATTGAGTGTCTGTTAGTATGGACGAATAAAGCAGGTGTCGAATCCCTTTACAGCACATATGTCGAACACTCTTAAAACAGCACTACATCCAGGCAAAGAGACGGTATAGTGAGTGACAAGGGCCTTAAGAGAGGAACAGAAGGCTTGAACTAAGACAATTGAGATCTGCTAAAAGAAAACTTAAATAACAAAAAAATGTCTACAAGTTTAGGAGGGAGATAGGAAGGAACTGGTTCACAAATAGGGTGGTGGACGAGTGGAGCAAGCTTAGCAACTTTGTAGTAAGTGCTGGAACGCTGGAAAGTTTTAAAAGGAGGCTAGATTGATTCATGGATGATAGAGAGTGATAGTAACTCTCGACAGGAGCTGCCATGCACAAGCCAACCGACCTATTGCAGACTCCTTGTTATGTTTTAGTTTATCCACGTCGAAGTTCTTAATTCCCGGTGAGATGAAACATTTTATAACAAGTTCGTAATTTCTTGTTGTTATTAGCTAAGACTCTATCAATAACTATACCTCTAGTTCCTGGTAGCCTGAAGTGTATAATACAACCCCCCCAAAATCTAGTTCCTATTGAGGTAAAGCACTGTAGTCCACCATTTAACTCCTAGCCAGGGAAAGTCACTGTTTACACTCATGTTTTTACATTCTAGTCGCCTGAACTATGATTCTCGTTCTTCAGTAACATAAAACCATCAAAAATCTGTCTTGGTTTAGATATTCATTTCCCTAGTTGTTGTATCTAAAAAATCTAACTTTTCTCGTCTCTTAGTTCACAGTTACATAAGGTACACTCAGATTTCGTCCTAGGAGTCCTCTGCAGTACTGAGAAGGACACTCAAAACTCCTTATCAGTATTGGTCAAGGTACTCAGAACTCCTCAACAGTATTTAGTCAAGGCACTCAGAACTCCCTATCAGTACTAGGTCAAGGCACTCAGAACTCCAAAGTACTATAGTCGAGGCACTCAGAACTCCTTCAGACGCACCAGTACTCAAGCCCTTCTACTCACGAGCTTCATGTCGGTGGTAGTAGTGGTGGTGATGGCTAAGGCGATCGAGAAGGTGATGCTCTCTGGGAACAGACCTGGAGCTTATATACCCTGGCCGAGGTCAGGTATGACTCGGATCTTCAGGGAAGGTGTTTCTGTTCCCTCCCCCTCTCTTCTTCTTCTCCTCCTGCCCCCCCCCCCAATTTCAGTATCTCATCCCTCTCTCTCCCTCCTTCATGGGTCGCTAAAGGTCGTACCGGATATGCCAGGGGTCGTGTGAGTGGCTGTGGGCGGCGGCTGGGTGGGGGAGGTGGGGGCGACCTCATCGCTAGCAAAGGGGCGGGGGTAGCGAGTGGCCAGTTGGTTCCTGGACTGAAGATGACGCTACAAGGCAGGGATGGGATGGGGATTGCCCTGTGGATCCTGGTGTGGGAGGGGCCAGCAATCTCTTCCCTGTGGCCAGGACAACATCCTAGTTGTGGGGGGTCAAAGGTCACATCACAGCTGCATGACAAATACCTTAGATGGACGTGCGTTGTTCTCTACTAAACTCCTTATACTGAGATGATATTCTATTACCTAACGGTGGATCTTACTGACCAAATAACATCATCCAACAGTTATTTTTAATGAAGACAAATAATTAGATAAATAAATTATCTGATTAACTTTATAGAGGAAATATTTCTAGATATATATATGTACATTCCGGTACCTGGAAGTTCACATGATGTATTCAGATATATAAGTACAGGTGCAAACTCAGGTAGATGTTCTATATAGACAGCTGCTTTAGGGAATATTAGCAGGGATAAACTGTTTTAATTATTATTATTATTATTATTATTATTATTATTATTATTATTATTATTATTATTATTATTATTATTATTATTATTTCTACATATGTCATTATAATCAAATTTATCATCTCTCATCATCATCATCATCATCATCATCATCATCATCATCATCATCATCATCATCATCATCACTAAAATATATACATAAATTTATAATAAATATTTCCCATAATTCAACCTTTGTGTTAAACCATGCACCAAGAACAGCCTCGTCAGGTCGTGTCATGGTGAGGAGTGAGGCAGGATGGTGAGGAGTGAGGCAGGTGAGAGACAGGATGGTGAGGAATGAGGTAGATGAGAGGCAGGATGGTGAGGAATGAGGCAGGTGAGAGGCAGGATGGTGAGGAGTGAGGCAGATGAGAGACAGGATGGTGAGGAATGAGGTAGATGAGAGGCAGGATGGTGGGGAATGAGGCAGGTGAGAGGCAGGATGGTGAGGAGTGAGCAGATAAGAGACAGGATGGTGAGGAGTGAGGCAGGGGCAGGTGAGGGGAGGCAGGAGGCAGGAGGTGAGGCAGGATGGTGAGGCAGATGGTGATGAGAGACAGGATGGTGCAGAGGCAGTGAGGTGAGGCAGGTGAGAGGCAGGGAGGTGGATGGAGGAGGGAGGTGAGGAGGCAGGTGAGGAGGCAGGCAGAGGTGAGAAGTGAGGTAGGTGAGGAGGCAGGATGGTGAGGGGAGAGGAGTAGGGAGAGGGATGGTGAGGGGAGGTAGGGTGAGAGGCAGGATGGTGAGGAGGAGGCAGGATGGTGAGGAGGAGGCAGGAGAGGCAGGACGGGAGGAGGAGGCAGGTGGAGACAGGAGGAGAGGCAGAGAGGAGGAGGGGGAGAGGCAGGATGGTGGGAGGAGGAGGCAGGGAGAGGCAGGATGGGAGGAGGGAGGGGAGAGGCAGGATGGTGAGGAGGCAGGTGGAGAGACAGGATGGTGAGGAGGTGGAGGTGGAGAGGGGCCAGGAAATGAGGCAGGTGAGAGGCAGGATGGTGAGGGAGTGAGGGAGGGGGGAGGACAGGATGGTGAGGAGGAGGAGGTGAGAGGCAGGATGGGGAGAGGTAGGTGAGAGGCAGGATGGTGGGAGGAGGGGGGGAGACAGGATGGGAGGGAGGAGGGAGGTGAGTGAGGACAGGATGAGTGAGGAGGAGGAGGAGCAGGAGGAGGGAGGCAGGTGGAGGCAGGACGGTGAGGAGGAGGCAGGTGGAGAGACAGGATGGTGAGAGGAGGGGAGGAGGAGGGGTGGAGAGGCAGGATGGAGGAGCAGGTGAGAGGCAGGATGGTGAGGAGGAGGCAGGTGAGAGGCAGGATGGTGAGAAGGAGGTAGGGTGAGGAGGAGGTAGGTGAGAGAGACAGGATGGTGAGGGAGGAGGCAGGGGAGAGGCAGGATGCAGGAGGAGTGAGGCAGGTGAGAGGAGGAGGTGAGGAGGAGGTAGGGTGAGAGACAGGATGGGAGAAGTGAGGTGAGAGGCATGATGGTGAGGAGGCAGGTGAGAGGCAGGATGGTGAGGGAGGGGAGAGACAGGATGGTGAGAAGGAGGTGGGAGAGGCAGGGGAGGAGTGAGGTAGGTGAGAGGCAGGATGGTGGAGGAGGAGGTAGGTGAGAGACAGGAGGTGAGAAGGGGAGAGGCATGATGGTGAGGAGGCAGGGAGGAGGAGAGGAGGGGGAGGCAGGATGGTGAGGAGGAGGAGAGACAGGATGGTGAGGAGTGAGGCAGGTGAGAGGCAGGATGGTGAGGAGGAGTGAGGCAGGATGGTGAGGAGGAGGTAGAGACAGGATGGTGAGAAGGAGGTAGGGAAGGCAGATGGTGAGGGAGGAGGCAGGAGAGGCAGGTGAGGAGTGAGGTAAGGAGAGGCAGGATGGTGAGAAGGAGGAGGATGGTGAGGAGGAGGTAGGGATGATGAGGAGGAGGGGCAGGAGGTAGAGGGGTGGGGAGAGGGAGGAGGGATGATGAGGAGGAGGCAGGATGGTGGAGGAGACAGGTGAGGAGGAGGAGTGAGGTAGGTGAGAGGAGGCAGGATGGTGAGGAGGAGGTAGGTGGTGAAGTGGGGTGGATGGTGAGGAGGAGGGGGTGAGAGGCAGGTGGGAGGAGGAGGTAGGTGAGAGGCAGGATGGCAGGAGGAGTGAGACAGGTGAGAGGATGGTGAGGAGTGAGGTAGGTGAGAGGCAGGTGAGGAGTGAGGTAGGTGAGAGGCAGGATGGTGAGGAGTGAGGCAGGATGGTGAGGAGTGAGGTAAGTGAGAGGCAGGATGGTGAGGAGTGAGGCAGATGACAGGTGAGTGAGACAAGTGGTAGGTGAGAGGCAGGTGAGAGAGGCAGATAGACACAGGAGCTGGGAAGTACCTCATTAAGAGATCGTTTAATACCTTATAAGTAACTAGTATTAATAAAATTCCTGTTTATATGATAATTTAGTTTATAAAGGTCGTGTGCTAATTAACGGGTAGATTGAGTAGCTTCAGGTAGGAGGGAAAGGTGAGGAGGAGGGTGAGAAGGAAGTCATTATCTGATTTATGTGACATCATTGACTTCAGAAGAGTTGGTGGTGATGGCAGTCATGATTAAAATTAGAAATGAAATCACTGACTTCAGGAGACCACGTGAAGGTGATTCTGAAGGTTAAGTTACTCACCTGAAGTTTCCATCATTTTTATCATTTATATCATCATAAAGGTTAACAATTTCTTTTTTATCATCATCATTCTGTGTAACATTTCACGTTAACTGTTGGTGAGGATCAGATGAAAACAATTCCCACATTTCCTATTTCTGATATTGTGTATTTCTAATCCAAGTTTCCTGAGCAGTTTATAGGCGTAAAGTAAACAAATATAAAGTAATTTTATTTAACGCCAAAGTTTCTTAAATATTAATTAAGGAACGAAGGGTTATTTTATATGAGGATATTGGAGAACTTTTAATTACTATTTATAATTATTGTCTTAGTTTAAAAGTTTAGTTAACACTATTAGTTTACACTAATAAAATAATGATAATATTAATAATGATAGTACAACAACTACAACTACTACTACTACTACTACTTTTTATTTTATTAATAATGGCCTCCAGCTTCCCCCAATAGCCACACCTTCGCCACCATTTTATCACCTTAATATTAAATATCCTAATACATGAGAAGCTATCCTAGCTGTGTTGAGTTAGTTGAGCTGCAGAGCTATGCGGCATTCAGTGACTGATGCCTCGTAGTCAATATTTGCAACTGTTGTCGGCTTTGGGGCCGATGCTCTCGTTCCCCTAAGGAGAGAGAAGGACAGTCGACATCTCATCCAGGCTGTGACATAACTTCTGGGCTGCTGCTTCTGTTCGGATAGCACCTCCTCGAGTCTGGCGTAGAAGCATCTTGCACTTGGTCCCATCCCACCAGAGGTTGTGAACACGAGAGGAGTGAAGCTGCCTTGATCAACGTTCTGAATTCTCTCCCCATATGCCCTTATCTTGTCGTTCTTGTTCCTCCTGTGTGCAGCATCGAGAGCTAGGTTACGGTGACATGCGGCCATGGGATCAAAAATCCTGATGTCGAAGAAGGTTCGCTGTCCCCGCGTCCAGAATCCTCGAGCACTGACATCGACACGGGCTTCGTTGGATGTGTTTGAAGTCCTATGTTGGAAATTCTCACCGTCCAATGGAAGGAGGGTCGGTTCTACCCTGACATCATGACATATTTCCTTCAACATATTTGCAGTGAGATCCCTTACTTCGTCATGCCTCATGCATATGAAGCCCCTTTCTTGCACACCATGGCGTGATCGAAGTCATAGGCGACATTTTAATACCTTAAAATTAAATATCCTAATACAAAAGTAGCTACCCTAGCTGTATTGAGTTAGTTGAGCCGCAGATCTATGTGGCATTCAGTGACTGTTGCCTCATAGTCAATATCTTCGACTGCTGTCGGCTTTGGAGCCGATGCTCTCATTTCCCTGGGGCAAGGCAATGCTAACCTAAGCAGATAGAAGGACTACTACTACTACTACTACTACTGTTTTTTTTTTAATATACGTGCACTCCAACCTCCCCTGATAGCCACACCTTCACCACTTTTATTGCCTTAATATCTTAATACAAAAGTATCTACCCTAGCTGAGTTAGTTGAGCCGCAGATCTATGTGGCATTCAGTAACTGTTGCTTCATAGTCAATATCTGCGATCGTTGTTTACGTTGGGGTCAATGATCTCGTTTCCCTGAGGCCAAGCAATGCAGACCTAAGCAGAGAGGACAGTCCACATCTCAACCAGGCT